GTCGCTTTTTGATTTATGGTTTTTTTGATAAAATTCTTTGCCAAATCAAAAATTATCCTTAGCTTTTTTTATTCTTTTGCAGCCAATATGTCAGCTTTAGGAGTCTTTACCACCAATAATTTACTTCAACAAACTTGTCAAATCTTAATTCGTCATCCAACATTTGTAGCAGAAACTGGTGGCAATACACCTATTAAAGACTGAAAACGTAGCAAACTTTTTCTAATGGTCTACAGAAGTTGTAGAGATCTAAAGATGATTATCCGAAGCCAAAGAGTAGTTTCGAAAATAGAGTTGACAAGACTTGCTCTACCTGAATTCAAATTACGTGTAGCACATGTAGTTGCTTGCTTAAAAAGGAAGGAACTAAAAGCTGTTGCAAAAGTATTTTATCATCCGAAATAGCTTAAAAAATTTTTGTCATTATACTGCTTTTACCAGAAATGGCCTGATGAAGCCGTTTCATAATTCTTTGGTCGGTAGGTAAGACAATATGATGATTAATTATTACGGGTTGCTTTTTACAAGAAACTTCTTCTGCAGCTACGAACCATAAATGCTCCTAATGGTTGACAGAGTTACAAATTATCGTAGTAAACAAATTCCCATGGTTGTCTCCAGTTTGTGACAGCATAAATCGAGGTGAATGCATACCTACTGTTAAGACTTTGGAAGTTTATCAGTTGAAGCATCCTTAAAGCCTACGATAGCATTCCGTAGATTCACTGATTCTCCTTTCCACATTTTTGCTTCTTGAAGCATTTTCATATTGTTTTTAGCCAAACGATTATTCTGCGTTTGTTTGTTTGCAACTGAGTACAGTCCTTTTTAGAAAGCGTAATTCTCAACTTCTGTTTATTGGGAAGTATCAGTAGACACGTTTTCGTTTCTCGTTGTAAGAAGGAGTGTTAATTGCACTCTAGTTCAGAAAGTAGGTAGAAAAATTTTGTTTTTTTATTCTCCAATAGCTATAAAAGTTATTTGTCTGCTAGACGATTATTAAGGAACTTCTTGAACGATAACTGAAGTAATCATACAATTCCCAGCACTCTAGTTCAATGAGCAGCTATTTAGATTCTCTATTAGCGTTCCCCTAGCTCCAGTGAAATTCACCACTAATTTTTGAACTTTTACAGCAGAATTTTCAAGGTGGATGTTAGATACAGCTGAAGCAATTTTTTGGTTAGTGTAAAATTACAAGGGTAGTTGAAACCGGATTTCAAACTACTACTGTGTGTAGTCATAAAGTAGCAATGAAGCGTTGTTGACGTATTCTTGAAAAATAACTTCGCCGGCCTTAACAACCCACCCATTTGATGCGATCATTTTTTGTTCTACCTGATCAAAGAAATTAAGTTGCAAGGGTTGCCAAAAATTTATGTTAGTTTTTGGTTGATCTTAACAAGTAATTATACAGATCCCAGCTTTAGATCAGTCTGGCGAAAAATATATAATTTGCCGACAGTAATCAAATGAAATAATCAGTTCCTCCTGTAACTCCTAATTAACGTGGATTTGATTAACACCATTATAATATATTAAGTAATATTAAATCTTTGTAGTATAAATGATTTACTTTTCCATAGCGGAAAAAATAAGCTGCTCATTTTTTTTAACTTCTACTTTTGCTCTCTCATATCACGCGGACCATTTGCCATTTATTTACTCATTCTCACTACTCACTAGCTACCATTTTGCTCCTCGTGGCCAGTGAAAAGCTCTTCCACTGAAGATACGCCAGTAGGGCTTCGAACTGCTTCACTACTACCTAGATTTTTTTCTCAGGTTTTTGGAATGTCTGGTAGCATGTAGATAAGGTTCACCAAGTACTTCTTGAAATTTCCGTGACACGGTGTTCTGAATTTGGAAAGCAGAATTAAAGCAAAAATTCACCTTGATTTTCCTTTTGTAAATCACTTTTTAACTGCTTAGCCCTAATTTAAAGAGAGTGAATTTTTTTTTGTGTCAAAAATTTCAGCCGTTTGCGCTTCTTCCTGCTCCGGACATTAATGTGTAGCTATATATCTATATTGGTGGTCACCGGGTCTTCGTTTGCTGGAATACTAATGTGCATTATATTTAAAAAAGTTTTATGCACTGTGAAACTCCTAATTTCCCAAACGCTTATGGAGTCTTGCAGCGCAATGTCTGAAGGCATCCAGTACCTATCTGGGATCTATACGCAATATGCGCTTCTTCATCTCAAAATCTGAAAAGTTAAATTCTTGATTGACGTTCAGGGAAAAGTAGTATGCTTTCATTAATTACTTTGTCAGTATTAACGAACTTAAGTCACACGCCAGAAATAAATTCTTCATTTTTAGGAGTTTTGAACTACATTCTACTTTCTTGTATTCTTATCAAACTGTACTTCCATGTTAGATTTATGAAACAAAATGTCCTAGAGTTTCTGGAACATACTAGTCAAAGTAGTCAAGAATAATTTATAAAAACAGGCCGGTTTTCCTCAGAAAGTAGTTAGAATTTTCACTTTCCACTTTCAAGGTCAAACAATAAATATCGTCCAGACTTCAGTAAAGCTGAGTGATTCCCAGCCACGCTCTAGCAGGCTATGTAGACGTTCGAATGGTCTGGAATATCCAAATATAGTTACACAAACGTGTCTCGAACGAGGCCCAGTGTTGTAGGAGACGAAAAAATTCAGTTTTCCTGCATCATGCCGCCGAAACAGTTACAATGTCATTTACGACAACGACTAGGTCCTCTTTGAAAATCAATGAAAATTTTTGCTGTTTTGTTCTGAAGTTATTAATAGTGTTTTATGAGAATTCCAGAAGGTAATGGGTGGTTCTGACCAATACATTACAACCTTCGAACATTCGCGAAAAAATGACTTTGGATAAGAGCAAAAAAGTTTCATGTTTAACTGGCAAGACGCCAGGGGCATTTTTTCTATTCGCTACAAAAACCGATAAAGTATATGGAAGCGAAACGGAGTAGAGAAGCTACTAGTGATGCCATTAAAGACTGGAACGAAATCTTTCAGCTTATTCATGAGGCAGTTTTTGTTGCCAAGAGAAAAAAAACTAGCTTCTTGTATACCTCGTAGATTCTCAAGAATTTGTGGCGTTTTGCCAACAACAACGACTGTGTGAAAGTGGCCGGAGACATACAGACAAGATACACGCAACAACCCCCTCCCCCGAGACAGACGGTTATCCACTTTTTGTTCATTTCTGAGGGAAAGCTAATGGCTGACAAGTTCAGGTGTTGAAAAGTGACTGCAGTTTTGTGGCGATAATAATTTAACAACTGATTTTTACAATTTACTCGAAAGACAAGAGGAATTGATAATTGTTGGGTACATCTGAAAAAAAAGTTTTGCTTTTTTTTACCGTCGTTATTGTTTGCTTCTTTGCATAATATTTTAAAAATAGATTAGCGTATCAAACTGTATGATCTTCCAACTTCATCAGTCCAACAAAAACGGTAGTAGCAGTTTGGAAAATGAAGAAGAAAAAAGCCCCTTCCAACAATTGGACGCTCTAATTTGTTGGATGCGATTATGGCTAGTTCAGCGAAAATCTGCAAAAAAAAAAAAAGACGCTGCCAATTCTCCGTCGCTCCCTCACCTGTTGTTATTCGTAGTCAGTGGTAAACACAGCGTTATAGCAGACACTTCATAGACGTTTTTTTTTCAATTTTTTTTTGTGCTGCATTTGCACGATGTTAAACCGTATGGTTTGCCGTGCCAATTTAATATTTGGCTGTTACCAGTGGCAAATTTTTTGAGGCATTTGTTATTGCCGACTTCTACACGTGAAAAAAAAAAAATGGCGGAAATCATAAGAAGACCCCTGGCGCAGTATGGGGCAAAAAGAAAGAAAGGCAATTTTTTCTTCCTTTTTTTTTTTTTTTTTTTTTTTTTTTTT